GGGGCCATCTTGACCAACCCAGGGGAGCACAGCCGGGGGGCGGCCCCGCCAGGAGGAGCCAGACCGGTGGAGGAGAGAGGGGGAAGAGGAGAAAACTGGCCGTGAAGGAGCAAAGCATGACAGCGGGGAGGGGAGGTGCATTTGGGGCTGGGGGCGGAATTTGTTTTAATAAGGGACAAGCAGGTCTAACCGCGGACATGGGAGGCTTCCACAGGGACGAGTTTCAAGAAGGGACGTGAAGGAGTTACTGAGTCTGGGGGAGGGGGGCGGCCTGAGGGGCGTAGGTCCCCTCCTTCCTTGGTATAAGGGGAGAAGAGGTGACGGATGCGTTGGGGAGCCAGTCCCAGCGGGAGGGTTTCTGTTTTGTAAAGTAGGAGGCCAAGTCATCCGAGAGGAAGAGATGAGGGGCCCCAACACTGGAGGAGCATGAAGGGGACTTGAAATTGAGACAGAAAGCAGGACAACCACGGACGCCTAGCATGATTCATCACGGACATCTTTACCGGACACCATCTAGGTACAAGTTGATGCTCTAGGCACCCCCGGGGGCCAAGGCTGGTGGCAATGTTTCTCTGCACGGGTGTGAGGCTCTCGGCTAGGTGGGGGCCACCGAAGATGGCAGGGCTGGAGGGTACAGGGCTCAGGTGGGCAGAAGAGGGCTTGACTGAATAGCCCTGGAGTGCACGCAGGTTAGGGAATGGAAGAGGAGCCTGTGACCTGAGTGGGCCAGGGCAGTTGGGAATGCTCGGGGCCTGGAGGCACCCTTGTGACCAGTGCACAGCCGAGCAGTAGCAGGGAGGGCAGGAGGCTGCGGCCAGAGGGTAGGCTCTCAGGAGTTTGGAAGGGCTGCGTTTTCAATGACAAGGAAGGTCTGGGGGCGTGTCCTGCTTCTGAGACCAAGATGTCGGGCAGAACTGAGGTTACCCAAAGTGACAGCAGGCCGCCTTCACCGTGAATCCTGGGGACCAAGCAGCCATGCCGGCAGCCAGACCAGAAATGAGCCTGTGGAACAAACGCGGGAGACATCTGAGACAGACACCCTACTCAGGGGGTTGGGGGGGGGCACCTCGTGAGGTGAGCACAGGTGAGGTGAGTAAAAGCTTCCTACCTGTGTCTCAGAGAATGAGTGTGCCAGCCTGCCTGGGGCCACGAGCTTGTGGAGACTGGCGGAGCCAAACGTCAGGCCCAGATCCGGCTCCGAGGCCCCGCCAGCCCGAGTCACGAGACCCCCACCTTTGCCAGGTTAATTCTGAAATCTCTGTTTTCTAAGAATTCCCTCTGGAGACAAATAGCAATCACTGCTTTTCTAATCTCGTTTCCCTGCAGTCCCGTGGGGCCGGGAGAACCTTGTCCAAAAGTTGCTGGGCGGATAAGTGAGGTGTCCCACACCCATTAGTCAAACACATGCAGGTGGCTCAGAAAGGGGGCCAAAGTGCCGCCCGTGTTTGCCAGGCTGCCAGGGAGCGTGGGCTCGTTCTCTGAAAAAAGTGAGTCGAACACAAGAATGCCCGGAGACAGCAAAAAGCAAAAGTCCAAGGTCCCCTCCAGCCTGGCCAGCTGTCGGACGCTGCTTTTAACGATGACCTTACGCAGACGTAATCGGGCTGCGAAGGAGAGGCCGAGCCTGACCGGGTGGCTTCTGCGTCATCTCCTAAAACATGGCTGTGGCTGCCACCGGGACCGTTGTCCGGCCGTGGGACAGATCACGGAAGCTCTGCTTACGTGAAGGAGAAGCAGGGTTCGATTCCCAGAAAGTCGATTCGTGTTTCAGAAGCGAGTTCTACTTTCCACTATTAACCCTGTGTTTCACGCCCTGGGCAGCAGGTTTGAGTATTTTGATTTCGTTACATCGGCCGCACTGGGGATGGCGACTTAGACGCTGCCTGGGAAGTGACAAGGAACAAGCAGGCCGCTAACTTCTCTCCCAGCCTGTGGCCGATGGAAGGAGGCCTTTCACGGAGTCACTGTCCTCTAAACCAAACAGAATGACATTCATTTCCTCCTCTTGCCAGGCAAACAATATTTTTCTTCTTGGGGTCAGAGGGTGAGTGAAGGACTGAGCCTCCAAGTGGGCCCGAGCTGAGCCAGGAAATGGCTCACTCTGGGGTCACGGTGGGCGGGGGACGCAGGTCTGATCCCCCGCTCCAGGGCTGCCTGGGGCTGGGCCTGGGTCCTTCCGCCCTTCCTGGGGTGAGCATGCACAAAGAGCACCTCCTGCTCCAACCTCGCTGTCCTCGCCTGTGAAACGGACCTAATACTAGCACTTAAGCTTGGGATTGTCAAGGATTAAGAGACAGCACCCAGCTGAGCCTTCTCACGCAGACTGGCACCCGTTGGCAGTGTCGGCTGGCGTCACTATGTGCCACCTCAACAGTCTGTGCATGGTCCCCCCGACCCTCCTGGGCCTCTTCTCTCTGCCTCTCACCTCTCAGCTGACCCCTGCTCAAAGGGCCTGAATCACAACCTTCATTCCAAGTTCAAAACGCCAGGCTGCTGGAGCCCGTCTCCGCTGTTGACACGGACAGAAAATGATTCTAGTTCTTTCTTCCTCTGGCTGATGCCGCTTTGTCAGCCAAGCCATGCCTCCTCTGCTCACCAGAGAACACTGCTCCCTCCCTGTTCTCCCCTGACTTCCACAGGGATCTTTCTGGACCACCTGCTCGCAAATAGCAGATACAGAAATAGCCAGAACATGTGGCAAATGCCTGACTAGGCGTGTGTGAGAAGCCTCGTCCTCATCCACCTCGTGGAGGGTTAGGTAAAACAGCATAGCGACGCATGGGCCAGGGCGAGGGCTCAGGAGCTGTCGGTCACTTTGATTTCCTGGACTCTAATTCCAAAGGCCATACTTTTCTCTGGCTTCACTGGATCAGACCCAGCACCAGCACGGACCTCCCCAACCTCCTCCCTGGCCAGGCCCAGCTGTGACCCAGCTGTCCCAGGTCAGGGAGGAAAACCAACCCCAGGGAAGGGCGGGGCCTCGTCTGTGGTCAGCAGTGAGCAGGAGGCAGCAGAGGTGGGCGGGACTTGAACTCAGGCAGCACTGGCAGCCTCGGCCCCCCCGCCCCCGGCAGGCAGTGGCAGGCCATGCTTAGGCAGGGCCACTTGGGCAGCCTAGCCAGCGAGGCAGCTGCTGTTGACACGTGATAACGTGTGTTTGTTTAGCTGGAGCCACTCATCAGGGAGGTTAATGTTCAACTCCCTTTAGCCCCTGGAGCCGCAGCAGGGAGCAGAGGGGTGAGACCCTCCCCAGCCCCAAGGACCCACTCCTGAGGTTCCTACGCAGCCCCAAGGCCTGGGCCCCATGAGAACTAAGCTCACACACCCAGCCTCATCCAGCCTCAAGGAACCTCCCAGGTCCACCTCTGTCCAGTCGGGAAATACAGAGAGCGCAACAGGCCCACCGAGGGGTCCAGGGTGTGTCGGGCAGGGGCAGAGCAGGCACGAGGACCCAAGCGTCTCTCCTCCGGGCCGCCCGCCTGCCTCGTGGGCGAGGAGGGAAACGTGTTCTGAAGAGGAGAGAAGCTGGAGGCACCAGAGGGAGCAGGGCGCCCTCGGGGACACTTAGACGCGGAATGAGAGGGGGCGGGCTCGCGGGATGCCCAGCGGGGGACGAGGGGCCTGGGGGCAGCCCCCGCGCCCCGTCAGCCTGGCCGCCCGCCCAGGTGGTGCTCGGGGCCAGCGCCACGAGTTCCGAAGCTGCACCCTCTGTGCCCTGTGGACGGCGGGCACAGTGAGGACGCCGTGCGGCCGCCGGGCACCCAGCCCGTGGTCAGGGAAGCGGCCGACCGGGCTGCCGTGCGGGCGAGCCGGGGTGAGCCGGGGCGCGACGGGGCCGCAGGCCGGGCGGCGTTCCAAACTGCTGCAGCCAGGGCGACGGCTCCGCAGTGCCACATGGCTTCCCAAGGCCCTCGCGTCAGCTGGGCTGAGAGCAGCCCGTGAAGATAAGCTGGCCTTGGACTCTGGCCAGAACTGGACTCTGTCCCCCCCGCAGCTCGGCCCAGCTCCTGCTGCCACCGCTCCCTGGGGCTGTCCGCAGGGCTGCTCGGTCTGCGACTCGATGCATTCATTCGCTCCCTCATTCATTCATTCGTGGGTGGGTGTTTGCTGTGCGTCCACTCTGTGCCGTGATCTACACTGGGCACCAGGGAACCTGCTGTCCCTGTGGGCTCCTTGTCCCCAGCCTGACAGACAGACTTTGGTTGGGGCTCTGATGAGGAAAGCCCAGGGACAAGGGACACAGAGGAAGCATCCTGGGACGGGGACAGGCACAGCAGAAAAGGCTTCTCACGGGAAGTGTCCTTCGAGCTGGGTTTTGAGGGAGGAGGAATTGGGCCATGGAGGTGGAGAAGGCCTGCTGCTCCCACCCGCCCGCCGCTGGCCTGCTCCTTCACCGCAGCCCCCTCCCTGGGCTGAGAGCTGAGGTCTCAGGTGGTCCTTGGCCTGACACTACCTCGTTTAACCACTAGGGAGGTGCTGCTTTAACCACCTATCGATGATATTTCAAAAGAAAACAGAGGTGCGTCGTAGAGTCTCAGAACGCGGGCTCTGGGAGCAGGTAGGCCTGGGCTCGGCCGCTTGCTGGCTGTAACATCTTCTGAGCCTCAGTGTCCTCGTCTGTGAAGTGGGAGCTCGTGCAGCTCTGGTGAGGATTAAACGAGGCGGCCGCTCTCACGGGCTTGGCGTGGGGCCTGGCATTTGACCTTCTCTCCGTGAGCCCCAGGTCCTGGATGTGGGAGGAAGCCCTAGACGGAACCCCCACCTCCCCGATGGGGGCGGGCCTGGGCACTCAGTGTTTGAGTGGGCGGAGGAAACCGAGTGCTCCCCTCCCCCGCCCGAGAGGACGTTCCTTCCTCCGGGGCTTCCTGGACCTCCGCCCAGGGCCAGCTGTCCTGTGTGTCCCTGCCGCTACCTCCAAAGTTCGCCCAGCCCCCTGGTGGAGGAGGTGAAGGAGAAAGCACAGCCACCGTCAGCAGGGCTGCGACCAGGGACAGGCTCGGGCCACAGTTCCCTCGTCGTGGTCATTCGCTACGTCCGCATCCTGGAGGCCAGTCCCCTTCTTTGGAAAAGGCCACTTCCATGTAGCTTGAGGTGGACCAGCCTCCCCAGCCTGACTGCAGGCTGGATAATCAGAGGGCACGTCCCCCAGGGCACTGTGACCCGTCCAGGGATGGACAGACAGTCAAGCGGGGCCAACAGAAGGCACCTTTGGGACTTCCGCTGGGATTCTGAGGCCCGGGGAGCTCCCTCCACCGGGGCTGCTTCACCGGTGAAACGTGAGCCTGGAGCTGCCACCCGCCTTCTTGCCGCCCCAAGGCAAAGCCACTGAGGGCCGAGGGCGAATCAGACTGGCGGTCACAACCCCAGGTGCCTCAGCCCGCACCCCAGATTCATCCTCCAGGCCTTTGACACCTGCTGCTGTCCTGGAATTGGGACACGAGAGGCCAGCCCGGTCACCGATTTTCTGTGACCAGGCCCTGTTCCAAGCATCTGTTAACAGCGGGCTCTGACCCCTGCCTTGTGAAGTGCACAGGACTGGGACAGCCCTGCCCAGACTGCGAGGTGACTGGCCTGCGCCTGGGCCACCCGCTGCTCCACTTGGCAGGCAGCCCCAGGAGAGAGTGGCAGCAGGCTGCCCCCAGCTCCCCAGGGACCCTGACCCACGCCAGGCTTGCTGAGTATTGTAAGGCCTGAGGCACAGCTGGGAAGACGGGGGGCGCTAGGGGCCTCGGCTCCTGGGTTTAAATCTGGACCCCACCACCACCTGGCTGTGTGATTTGGGGCAAATGATGTCACCTCTTTGAGCCTCGCTTTCCTCATCTCCTAAATGGGAATGATAATAATGACAACTAATTGTCAGCTGTCACCTAAGTCTAGGCGCTGGGCTTGACTGTTCCATGTGTACCTCGATTTCTCCTCACCTCTGCGTGTTCGAAACGAGGAAACAAGAAAAACCACAGCTCCACAGAACTGGCAGAGCCGGGTTTCCAACGCCCGTTTTTCTGTTCTGAGAGCAGGACCTTCCTCATCAGGTTTTGTCTCAGGCAAGAGTCAGCCAGGAAAACAGGATTCAAAGCAGAGGGATCGAACGCAGGCACGTAGGGGCTTGCAAAACCGTCGGAAAAGCTGGGGGACCGAAGGGGCGGGTAGCCCCCACCGGCCTTGGGGAATCCGAAAGTGTGGGAATGGCAGGATTTGTGTGCATCCTACTCACGCTGGGCATTTGGGTGTTTCCTATTCGGGGCTGGTAGGCATCGTTCACGCACGTCTGTCGGTGGACATAACCCTCGGCACACATCCAGCAGTGTAATTATGGGTTCCCAAGACACGTGTGTGTTCACAGTCCAATCATATCTCCACAATTCGTTACGAAAAATTCCAAACCTACAGAAAATGGGAAGAGTCGTTCAATGACTCCCACGTACGTCCCACCCGGATGCCACCGTTAACTGCCTTAGTGGCTCTCTGTCCCTCTGCCCATCGTTAATTGACTGTTGTCGATGGGACGACATAATTTTAAAAAATAAAAAAAAAAGGATACAAAATGATCCGAAAGCCATGGACACAGAGAGATCGGGAAATAAGCAAACCGCCAGTGGCCACGGCGATCTCCGCCTGATAGGATTTTTTTTTTTTAGTATTTGCCAACTTTTCTATTAATTTTTTTGATCAAGAAAAAAAACTTATTTTTAATTTAAAAAAAAAAGGAGCTTTGTTTTTTTTATAGGAATGGCATTTCTTTCTTTGGGGGAAGGAGGCTGGGGGTGGGGAGCAGGGAGGGATGGTAGCACCTGCTTCGAAGAAGGAGCCAAGGGAGGAACCAGGTGCCAGAGCCTTGGTGGCCAGAGGGGAGGGGACGGGGAGTTGCCATTTAACGGGGGCAGTCTCAGTTTGGTTGCAGGACAAAGGGAATTTACTTAACGCTACTGAACGACACACTTGGAAACTCTGAAGATGGCCAAAGTGGTCATCTCAGATGAGGACCCAGTTCCTGAGACGGGTGGTCAGGCAGTAGGAGGCCCCCCGCTTGGCTCACGGTCATAAATGTAAAGGAAAACCAGTCGAACCAGTTTAGAGCTGTTCTTCAGGAACATCAGCTTTTCAGTGGCAGTTGAGAAGGACGGGTGAAAACCGGCTGGGTTCCTGCAGGTGGGGCTTCGCCAGGTGGGTGCAGCAGAGGAAGGCGAACGGCTGGAACCAATGCCCCCGGAGCGCCGCAGCTACACACCGGAAAGCTTGGCCCTGGCCCGCACGCGATCCTGGCGGGTGTTCCTGCCCAGCCTCCTCTCCCCCACGTGGCGACTCTGGGGTTCACCCTTCTCCTCATGATGCCGTTGTCTTCACCGTCGGCCCCCTGGGTCACCATGGGAGGGGAAGAGCCTACCAGATATTTATTCTCCTTGGCCCTGAAGGGACACGTATAACCTCTGTTCATGGGGTAGTCCCCTCGTGTAGCGGCAGGTCGCCTTCCATGGGGTGATCCAGGGACGCAGGGACCTTAGAACTCATGCTGCTGGCCCAGCTTCTTCCCTTGATCCTTTGCTGCCAGTCAGACACGGGGACGTGGGAGGGCAGCGGGGCTCTCCCAGGAGGGAGAAGTGACCTACGGAAGGGGTCATGTGGACCCAGCCCCTTTTTACAAAGGGGTGGGGGGCTGGGAATGTGGCCATCCTCTGTGCCCGAATAGTGGAAGTGTCTCTGCCGGGCAGGGGTGGGGAGCAAGTGTATGTGTGAGGGGGTGGAATTTACACTGGGGATGGGGAGAAGTGAGGGCTGGAGGGGACAGACCGCTAAGGCCACGAGTGGAAGGTAGAAAGGAGTCAGGAAATTGTAGGCAGGGAGGGTTTTAGTGGAGAGCCCTAAGCTCAGAGGAAGGGCTTGTTGGGCCCAAAGTGGCATGCTCGGAGCCAGTTGGGGGCAGGGCTATTTCTGGTGCTGAGAAAGTCCAGGGCATGGCGGCTGCATCTGTGGAAGAAAAAAGGATACAGGTGAGGGGTCAGGAGCACAGAGGCCAGTGTCGCATGGGTCGTGCAGGTAGATATGATGACAGAAGCCTGGAGCATGGCGTTTTTTCTGTTTGAACACTGGCTGTGGGCCAGGCTCTGTTCTAAGCTCACGTGGTGGGCGGGTAGCCTTCCGCGTGGTAGTCCAGGGGCCCAGGTACCTTGGAACTAGTCCCACTACCTTCACTCATTAATCGATTTAAAAAAAAAAAAGCCAAAATGGGGTTACTTTTGCAAAGTCAAGTCACCAAACCAAAGCTTAATAACAAACCTAACTGCACTTTCGGCCTTTCTCAGGAATGTAATTTTAAAGCAATCGGCCCGAAATTTCTTGGTCGACGCCAATGAGGTCATCTGCCTAATTCTTGCCTAAAATAACTGATCGTCTTAATTTCCTAGACACCCCGTTTCTGCCTGTAAAAACCTTCTGTTTAGTACAACTCATTGGAGCACACATCTAGCTGCTATCATGGGGTGTCGTCCGATGCATGAATCTGTCGACCAGGCGTGAATGAACCAGGAGGCTTCACAAGAATTAAACAGCCAAGGGTCTTAAGCGAATCACAGCTCGGGAAACACCACCGGGTAATATCGGGGTGTTCCGAAGAGAAGAGACGCTGAGAGTTTTTATGGTAAAAAGCACATTCTTGAGGAGTCAGTCCTGCCTTCTTAGCCTCTGGATGGGTCCGACATGGCAGTCCCTGAGATGTCTGGTGGCCTGAACATCCGCTCCTAAGTTTTTCAGAGGGTTGTCTATAGGGTTTGATGACGAACAGATGTCCAAACCTATAGAAAACTTTCATAAGAATTTATTTGCGTCAAAGTTTTGAGGCCACGCCCAGAAGCAAGATCTCAACGGACAGAGAAAATGCTCCGGAGAATGGCAGTTTCGCGGCTGATTTTACACATTTAGAATCAAAGGCGAAAACGTGAGTAAGGTTACAGGAAACGCATCTGTGGTGCATTAAGGAGGCGGGAGAAAGCAAAGCCGGGACGTCTCTGGGATTGGGTGAAAAGCAGATGGAGAGACAGGCACTTCTTCTACATGGATGGGGACGGGAGAGCTAACATTTAACGCTCCCGGCACACGGAGGTGGTGTGCGGGGGACGAGATGGCAGTGAGGACCTCCCTGGTCTCATGCTCGTGCGCTTGAAACCGGAGGGCGGGCGACAGAGTCTGGGGCCTGTGCTGCCTGTGCCCCCAGGCAACAGACAGACACAGGCGATGGGGTATTTAGAATCCGCGTTTATGCGGAGCACCTGGGACCCGAGGAGGCAGCGGGCGAGCATCTTCAAAAACTGCCTTGCCTTCTCAGTCCGGACATTGTCCCAGGGGCTACATGACGGTTCCGGGGGTCTGCTGTGCTTCACGGGGCCGTCCTTCTGGCAATGTGGTCCTCCGGAGGCGTCAGCGACCCCGGAACAAAGACAGGAGCATTCTGGAAAGAATGCTAGACCGGAAGGATTGCGATCAGTAAGCACAGGGGCGTTCATAGCAAGTTTCGGGGCCACTTTCTATGGCAGGGGACGTTCCAAGCTCTGGGTCAAGCCGTCGGGGACAATCTATTTTAAGCTATAGGGCAAGGAAAAGCATAGCCGAGTATGCTGTGGGGCTCCTACGGGGCTCCTACAACCAGGGTCCCAAACGGGCCCTTCTTAACTCCAGTGCCAATTGTTGTGCCTTTGACAGGGCTGGGGAAAAAATTACTCTGACCGTTCAGAGGTGTGTTATCCTGGATGCACGAAGACAATGGACTCAACTCAAGGCGAAGCTCGGCTTTTGCTAAGGAAGCTCTAGACCCGGATGTGACCGACGGTGCCATGGCCCGCCCGGTTAGGGATTTACGATCAGACCCTTCCGCCTGGTTACTGCCGTCGCCGAGCTCGTCAGCCTGCTGCGGAGCACCCCCGAGCTCACCTGATGCATCTCCAGGCATCGACGCACAACCGGACAGTTCAGAAGTGTAAGTTCCCAGGCTGCTTAGAGTGAAATCGTCTCCTCGTGATGCAGCCCACTCCGATTCCTGTCAGCTGGACCATAGCGACTTCGTTTTGTTTCTTCATACTTCCCTCAAATCGCTTAATAAAGCTAATTAGAGCTACAAATTTATTCAGTTGGTTTTTAACAAATCCTTCTAGTAACCATCTGAGGCAGGGACCCGTACCGTCCCATTTTAGGGGCAAGGGACAGAGGCGCAGAGAGAATAATCGCCACCTGCCCGGCACCAAAAGCAAATAAGTGGTAGCACTGGGATTAGAACAAGGGCCGCAGGGCATCACAAGCTCGGTGCACGCATTCATTTATCTAAACATTCGCTGAGCACCCACGATGTGCAAACACGGGGGAGGCAGAGGGGCTGAGAGGCAGTAGGTGGAGGCAGCCAAGACAGGAGAGGGTGGGGGGCTCAGGGCACGGGCTTTGGGGGAGGGCTGCAGCCGTCCTTGGCCTTCTGTCTGGAGGCCTGGCTTCTGCGGGGAATCTGCTGATCCGGCACTGCAACCAGGATCAGTTCTGCCTCCGGGAATGGGGAACCTTTGCCTCCCTTTGCCCTGTCACTTGTCACTAGTCCCTGGCTGCTTCGGCCATTTCCTTGTTGTTATCCCTGTTGTAAATATGAGCTCCCATTGCAGAAGTGGCTTCATCGAGACTTTAGCCGTTTCTAACAGAATATTTCAGGGGCGACCCCCACCGGGTGGGTGGTAGGGGATGAACTTGTAGAACATGGAGGCCCCCAAGTGGATGGTGGTCAAGCCAGGATGCAGGCTGGAGGCCCTGCCGCAGAGGGAGGTCTGGGCCCTGGACCCTCTCTCTGAGCAGGCCCCACCTGGGTCCCCCTGACATTCTCCTGCCTCTGCCCTCCCCTGCCTGCCCCTTGGCCTGCTCACTGAGAGGGGAGAGGCACAGGAATCCAGTCTGGCCGGATTCCTCC